TCAGGCACGGGGGGCCACGTGTTCAGACCACAGGTTCAAGCCCACAACCATAGCTGTTGGCTATCATTGTGCTGGGAGGGCTCTGTCCTCCAAGCTGGGACTTGCACGTACGTGGCCATGGGAGGACTGTGCCCTCTCATCAGTCTGAGGCTTGGACCTGTCCAAACTCTGTAGCCGCTCCGCACAATATACACTCCATATACACTGAGTGGCCAGATTATTATAATCTATGAATGCATAATAATCTGGCCACTCAGTGTATGTGTATCTCAAATGGGTACCAAAAGTATTCTAGACTTTTGCTGGAGATCAATCATCTATGTGCCCTGAGCTTTCTGTCAGCCAGTGCAAAGGGGAAAACCAAGCAGGTGCATGATTTATAGTCTCTTTGATATCAAATAAATGAGGTGCTCAAGAGAAGTACGCTGAGTGGCCAGATTATTATACGTTCAGAGATCGTAATAATCTGGCCACTCCGTGTATATGTCTTATCAAAGATTAAAAATAGTTGTTTTATTTTTAAGGAAGGGCTTTGAAATTTTCTCTTTTGCCCCCAATTATTCAAAAGGTGAAGTAAAACCCATAGCTTTGTTGGACTCTTTATTCAAACAGAGAATAACGAGTCCTTGACTCTGAAATGAGTGAATGATTAAGCTGCGGTGGGGTGTTAGGCAGGGAGGTTACCCTCCATCTGCGGCTCAGAGGGAGAGCTGCTGCCATCTGCTGTCACTGAGGTCGCACCCCAGGATCCAGATTCTTTTTTCTTTAATGATGTGAGAAAGTCTGCAGGCCTTTCCACTTCAGAAAGGGTGACTAAGTCCCAAACCTACTGAGCTTCTGCTCTGACAGCTCACCCTGCGGGGTCTGACCAAAGGCAGGCAGAGGTTCATACGCTGCCAGTGAACTGAGGGCCCAGCAGAGGGAGGCTTGGTTTTACAATGTGAGAGGAACATCTGTACAGGGACATGTGCCGCCCCAGGTTCTCTCCTCAGTAACAGGCTGCCCCCTGGAGGGTACATATGCAGCGTGACCCTGCCCTGGCTCAGAGTGGCCAGTCTCTTTCCTTTCTCGACTTAGGACAAAAAGGACAGCCACAGCCTCCCCTCTGCCCACACATGTGAGGAGATTCTGCCACTGAAGATGATCAGGGTTGTTTTTTTTTTTTCCTCCCTCAATGAAAGCCCATGAATTAAAAGATGGGGAATGTGAAGTACAAGTACAAGCCAAGAGCCCTAAATGGGCACTGAAGATAACCCTGATATATTCGGACTAGAACTCGGTTTCTATGGGTGGAAATTTGATCAAGACAAGTTTATGTACCTAATTCTTTGCTAGGAAGATAATACTGTCTTTAGTGTACAATGGAATTCCCACAGTATTAATATAAAAAGACCACCAACTGACCAACTGCAACATACATCTGGGAGAAGTCTCTAAGATACTCCAAAAAAAAAAAAAAAAGGGTAAACAATCAAGATAGCATCCTTAATATTTTCAATGTGCTATCTCTGAAATAAAATCAATAAAACAGTACTAATAAAACTCCCCTAGATTCAAAGGAATTGCAAGTACAACCCTGGCTGGTGTGGCTCAGTTGGTTGAGCATCATCCCATACATGAAATAGTAGCTGACACATGATCAGGGCGCATGCCTAGATAGCAGGTTCCATCCTGGTTGGGGTAACAGGATGAGTAAAAGTGAAATCTATGGTTTAAAGTCCTCAGCATCCCTATTGAATTACAACATAGAGGAACAGAATATGTTAAATAGCAACAGCGCAATAATTAATAGTCATGAAAAGGCCCAAGGAGAAAAACAAACACAGGAGGCATGAGGCCTGAACTGTTTTCTGTAGTAAAAAGAAAACTTAAAAACGCTCAGAGAAAAACTTGCACATGAATGTTCATAGCAGCACTATTCATAAAAGCCAATATGTCCCTCAACATTAAGATGGTGAATGGATAAACAAAACGTGGAATATCCTTACAAGAGACTATTACTAAACCGTAAAAACAAATACAGTACTAATACAGGCCCCAAATTAGATGAACCTCAAAAACATTATGCTAAGTACAAGAATCCAATACAGCCGAAACCGGTTTGGCTCAGTGGTAGAGCTCGGTCTGCGGACTGAAGGGTCCCAGGTTCGATTCTGGTCAAGGGCATGTACATTGGTTGCGGGCACATCCCCGGTAAGGTGTGTGCAAGAGGCAGCTGGTCGATGTTTCTCTCTCATCGACGTTTCTAGCTCTCTATCTCTCTCCCTTCCTCTCTGTAAAAATTCAATAAAATATATTTTAAAAAAAATAATCCAATACAAATTCCCTATGTTAAAAAAAAAGCCAAAAACATATAAATGCAGATAAATAACTTTAGAAACATGCCTTATTTTGTTTACTTATGTTTAATTTCAATGAACACATAGTGTATTTTGTGCCAGACACTATTTTAAGCATTCTACAAATATTGACATTCTGCTACAATTTTTGTAGACTAAGAAACAGAGAGGTTAAATACCTTTCACAAATCACAGTGCTAAAGATCTCAGTATACTTTCAGTTTAAAAATTAATATATATAAAGTGTACCTTTAAAATGTAAAGTGAATTTACCAATAATTCTATAAACTAACAATACGGTGAATACTATATTTAGCCATAGTATTAACTGCCATCACAAATATCATTTATGACCAAGTGGCTTATTAGGGTACTAATACCATCATCAGGGCCCCACCCTTGTGAACTCATCTAACCTTAATTATTTCCCAGTGGCCCCATTTCAAAACCCGTAACATAGGGAGTTAAATAATATAAAGCACAGATTTCTATGGTTAAGCAAGCATAATTTTTTACAAGAAGTAAACATTGGTCTCAAGTGTAAAGAGAAGATAATCTTTGCCCCCAAAGTACAGTCTTATAGAACTTACCTTGGGAAAATATTATTCAACTTCATGATAACAGTATGAAAAGTCATTATAAATCCTATAAGAAAGCCCCATTATTATTATTTTAAGAAAACTGTTAAATATTTCTTTTTAGTTTTTACCCTTACTTAAGTGATATTAAAATATAAAGGTTAACTCAATGTACTGTACTGTCAAAGTTCAATATTTCCTAATATTTAAAATTCCTGCTATTATAAACCCGTGCCCATTGTTTCTAACTTTTAATTTGATCAAGGTGCAGTAAAATATTTATAATTTTTATTTCTACATTAAGAAAATGACATACTGAGGTACTCTCTCCAATCCTTTTCTACCTCGAGCATCTGATGCTCTTTGCAGTCGCCATTTCTGCCACGTGACCCTCCTCTGTTTGTTCTTTCTTAGTTCACATCCTGACCCTGCCCAACATTCATCCACTTAGCAAAGGCAGCTGAGGCATCCTCTGTATTCTGCACAGGTGACTACTATAACACTTATAACTCCACATTCTTTCTCTCAATAAGTATATAATTTTGATCTTTCTGTGGTAGAATGATGTAAGTAACTTGAGTTCAAACAATGTGTCATTGTCATCTTGGTAACGCCAACCAGTAGCACATGGTAACTTGCACATAGAAGGCTCACAGGTATGTTCCTGAATAACTGAATCAGTGTCCTTGCTATTACCCCAGAAAACACCAGATTGTCACAGAGTAGGTAGAGCAGGCCCTCCTAGTTAACAAACAAATGAATTAATAACAAACAAATGAAAAGTTCATGGTACTTTTAGGAGAATTAAATGAATTACCAAATATTATAAACTATTAGCAAATTATTGTTACTTGTACTGATTGTGGTTAGGTAAAAAATATATATATATCTCCGTATTGTTAAAAACACATATTGAAGTATTTACAGTGAAATGCCATGGTGCATATGGAAGTTAGTTTAAAATACTTCAACAACAAAGCAGATAACCAAAAGGATCTCTTTGTGAACTACTTATGGGAGGTAGAAAGGGAATATTGAATTTAGAGAAAAACTAATTATATTTAAGAAAGTAAATTTCAAATACCACATGAGACAAAAAAAATGTGATCAATTATTTATTTCATTCAGGGAAAATAAATTTTTCTTTACATATCTTCTTGAACTTTTTTTGTTATACATGTAAAACCAGTGTTCACTAATATAAATAAATAATCTTAATATCACAACAAAAATAAGATGTATAATTTAGAATCACTTCAGAAATATAGAACCTTTTTCATGTTAATCTTATAATATCTCTGGATACTTTTAAAGACATTAAGTTAATAAAAAGACACCTTCTATCCTGTCACCCTTTCACAGGATGCTTTTACAAAATAAAAAAAGAAAAAGACTGTCCTAAGAGTAAAATTAAAATTGTCACTGATCCATCTTAAAAGGAGCTAAATTCTGTACCTATATAAGAAAGAAATAATTATTTCTTCCTTCTATACTTCTCCTTTGCCACCAACTAATCCAAGAAACTTGACGCTCTGAGTCATTATTTCATTTAAGATATTTGCCAACCCATTCAAGCTCATTTGAGTGGAATAAGGAAAGATAAAAATGCTTGAGAGTCAAGAAGGATTATTTTATAATGTGGTTCATCTCTCTGTGGCAATTTTCCTCAGAAGAGACTGGGCAATGTTTTGTTTTTTGTTTTTTTATTTGTTTTCAATATCCAATTAGTGTTTTTAATTTTTAATATTTTTTGTAAGTAAAAATAACATTAAAAATCTAATGGGGAAAAAATAACTTATTTCCTTTCATTCATGCTCATAAATATCTACACTTCTAGACACATAAATCACTCTCAGTCTTGTGAGTTGTTCCATTTTCAAGAGGCTTAGAAATGTTGAGAATGCGATTTCAGGATCGATTAGTTTCTTCTTCTTTATTGACATTCTTAAGCACCTTAAAGTCACTGATTAACATGCAAGATGAAGAGCATTACTACATATATTGTGTCCATGCTTCCAGGAACTTATAAAAACTAGGATATTCTGTGTACTCGTAATGCACTTTCTTCTTATCTCTTCTTTGGCTAAGTCAGGTAGCCAGTGGCTACCAGCATCATAAACAAAACTGTCAGTGTCATAAATGTGTGCCCTGAAAGTTAAAAATAAAAAGTTAAAATCAAAGTAATTTTACTTATTGGTGATAAACATGAAATGTTAAGTTATGATATGATAAACAATGGAATATTTGGGGTGTCAAACAATGCAAAATTGGTAAGTTATACAGTATAGGCAACCTTAGCCAACATAAAAGAGCTATCTTATAAGATCCATAAACAGGACTTATAAAATATACTGTACACCAAATTTTAATATTTTCTAAACATTAGAATCTCTGAAAGCCATCAAGCAAAAAAAGAGAAACAAATACAATAAAGCCCATAATCTCATGATGCAAATAGTTAAATAAAGGCATTCTCATTTTAGACCTAATGTATCAACCTTTTGTTTTGGTTTTTTTTCTCCCAAAATATTTATGTCATTGCTAGCATCTAATCATTACAACAAACTGAGTGCAAAACACAGAATGAGATGATGAGCATATTGCTGAAGTGTTAAGAACTGATAACATGGTCATACTAATGAGAGATTCCATGCTAGTCAATCATTCAAAAACAGAGAAAGAGTGCTGACAATAATAGAGGTTAAAGCCTCTATTATCTTTGATTAGTACCGGACAAACCATGAGCCGACAGTATTGATGGATATTCTGCAAGAAATGGGACTTTATAGAACTATATACCTTTTGTCATTTACCAGAAGGTCATACTTCTGAGGCATCAACAGTTTCTGTTAAACCATGAAACATGACATTGTGTGCTTTGTTGTTCTCATGGAGGTGATAAGTGCTGAATAGTAGAGAGGGAAAACACTAATTGAATTATATAATTCTAACCTGAATCAAAAAGTAGTACCAGCAGTTGCTTACAACCACACCCTCTTTATGAGCTCAAAGGTATGGTACACACCTAACACTTCTAAAAGAAGTAAATCCTTTCATTGGCAAACACAAGAATCATCAGGGGAAGGTAGAATATCACCTTCAGACTCATGAACTCTTTGCCCTGTCCTCATTAAGATCAAATTTTTAATTACATTGATATGAAAGTTTTAGAAGTGATATGAATTAGGAGAATAACCGGGAATGAGTAAAGCTGGCTCTCACTCTAAACAAAACAAAACAAAACAAAACAAAACAAAACAAAACAAAACATAACAAAACAAAACAAAAAGCAAATTTTTTTCTTAGGTTTTTTTTTTTTTGCCTGAATTTCCTCTTATTTGGAAAGAGAGGAATTAGGAAAACCTCTATGGTTCAAGACTTGTCATCCTATCAAAAATATCATGGCCAATTTACTTTGCCAAAGTAAAAAACTAGCTAAGAGCTAGAGCAACCTGTATGCTCACCACTTTCCACCCATCTCACCTGGCTTTGGAAGGTGACCCATACACTAGAGATGGAGCAAATGGAAGGCAGAGCATAAGGTGGTTTTCTTTTTTTTTCCAGAGCAGTTTGCTGGGGCATTTGTATCAACTCATGTTAACGACTTAGACTTGTGTTTGGCTGGGCTTTACGGCCCATTCTTAAAAAGTTCCTGAAAATCTTGAGGAGAAAGTTATATTTTACTACTCTGAGTACGATAGCCTCAAGCCCACTTTATGAACAGGAAAACCTATTTTAGAAATCCAGGACCTAATGGTCTGATATTTGGCTAAAATACTGAACCATTTAGTGATTTAAGGAACATTCATACTTTTACTTTAGCTTATAATAGGCTTCTCTCTACTACTTAGCGATATTTGTTAATTTAAGGAGAAAGGAAAGTGTTACATGAGGTAAAAAGAAGAGAGCTCACATCTGTCAAAGAATTAAGATAGGCAATTTAGTAACATAAATATAGTTGTTCTTAATTAGTGAATGAAAATGGAGGCATTAGGGAAGTACAGAAATGACTCAAGAGTTTATAGGAACTCCATAATTAGTTTTCTGAACAATAAAATCTACACGATAACAGAAGAGGGTCCATTTATTTATTTGTGTTTATGTTTTTAAGGTATCATGCGTGTTTAATAAGGCTTAAGGGGCTAAAAAACCTCCTGTTTCTCCGACAGGCCTTTGCGCATGATGTTTCCTCGGCCCTGAGGGACAGAAGAGGGTCAATGTAAGTAGTTATTTGTCTGCAGAAAATGCCAGAGCCAACCATGACTATCTACTTCATATAGGAATGTTTAAGGCAGGCCAGATGTTTCAGACCAGACTGTGGTTTTCTCCCCCTATGTGCTACTATTTTACCATCCGAAGGCCTCCTATGTGCCAAGTGAGGTTCTGACTTCTTTACAGGTGGAAACTGATTTGATCCTTACTACAATCCCATAAGGAAGGCTCTCTATTTCCCCCATTTTACAGATGGGAAAGCTGAGGCACAGAGAGGTGAAGTTGCTTACAGTGACATGGCACATGGACAGCAGGCACAGGATGGAACCATGCAGGCAGATGCCAGAGCCTGCCATCTTTGGCTGGACTGGCATGCATCAATAAATGCAACTCAAAGACAGGCCTATTTACAAGAGGTTTAATATTATGTTAGGGGTTGGCTTCTTCCCCTCCCCCCGATTTTTTTGGTTTTGTGCAACACACATGCTAGTATGCTACCATAAATTGTACTAAGGGAAAGGCAAATCGATTAATAAACTGCAAAGTGAGATTTTGGCTTTCAAATAATTTTCCTTTAAAATGTGGCTAATGTTTTTAAATATATTGATAAATTTTAAAAAAAGGCACAAAGTGTGTTTATGGAAGGTAGCCATTATAGACAAAAAGAATAAAGAGATAGCATGTCTAAAAAGACAATTAAGTGAGGCAAATTATCTACTCATGATAAAATATCAAGTTTTACTGGAAAGAAGCTAAGAGCAAATGTTTTAGTCATCAGAATTTCTGCTCACCCTGTTCTTCCAAAGTTCTCGTAAATTTTGGTTAGAATTACAATAGCAATTATTATAGCACCAACAGTAAGTCCTTGAGAGGAGGAAAAACATGGTAACACAGTTAATAGACATATAATCAATTATATATACAGTGTAATTTCATAAGGACATTGTGAGGCAATAATGTGAGGCAAATTAAGCAAAATATAGAAGACAGAAATTATGTTTTTGCATATGGCCTCTACTGTTACAAGTCTGAGAGTAAAAACTGCATATTATTTACCCTTTGTTCTGTTTTCTTTCAAAGAAAAATGAAATAAAATATTACAAATAAAGTATTATAGTGATGAAATAAAATTAGTTTGATAGGTTTAAGAAGATTTTTAAGTATTTAATCCCATCATGCTTAATTTGAAATGATTTGACCATTGATCTTTCATATATACATTTCCTCCCCACTCCATCCTCCAATGTCCTTGAACTCTACTCTTCTGATTTGTACTACAAAGGAAAGTAGAAATGATACTCAAAAAGCAAACTTTGCTGTGCTACTAAAGCTACTGTGTCTAATGAGTGTATCTGGTTCCAAATCAGCAATATATAAATATCACACAATTGCACTACCATGTGGACAAATGATTTTAAAAAAAACAAAACAGTTATTTCCACCACAGGTAAGTTTTTATAGTACTTTACCCAGTCAATTTCTTTAACTTATGCCCTAGCACCATATCATTTTCATAAAAAAAAAAAAATCATAGCTCCTCAATATTCTTTGAGGTTTTTTCCCCCCCTTCATCACATTTCATTAATCCCATTATTTTCAAATGTAGCAAAAACCTCCATTTTCAATTTGAATGATAAGTTAATATAAAAATGTAGAGTGATCCAAAATAGCTAGATGATGATGGAAGCAAAAGCCTATTTCTAGAACTCGAATTAGTATATATATGTAATTCTAGAAGAAATTATAAGGTTGATGGCTTAACAAAAAAACAGAGCAAAACACAGAAGTTTGAGAAACAAGTCTACATAAATGATTGCTTCATAAATTGACAATGGAGTATTATCTCACAAATTGGAAAGAAGGAAAAGAATTTAAGGTATAATGTCAATAATTTATTATGTTAAAATCCACTTGGTACCTCCAGAAAACTATCCCAAAGGTGAATCAGAATCAATTTAATATTTATGCAACTTATGATAAGTGAAACTATGAATTATTAATAAAATTATGATTGTGATTTCAGTGTTCCTAGTCATTAATGGAAGAGCTCTGAGGTAGAAAAATTACCTAAGTTTAAAAGTGATTTTCTCCAAGAAAAGGTAGTGTTTTAGTAATGTCCCTGGATGTAGAAATATTTTTACACTGCTTAAAATGTTGCAAAGCAGTTTGCCACCCGCTACCTCATTTGATCAGCTCCAATAACTAGCACAGTGCTTGAAAAATAGTAGAAAGTGCTTATAAATATTTATTAAATTGTACTGAATGATATTACTTTTTCCAGATGAGCAAATGGAAGCCATATACAGAGTATCATCTTTATTTTTTTTTAAATCCAAATCAGAATTTATTTCATTAACACAAGTATCATTTCATGAACACAAGATGTTGTGTTCATGAAATGATACTAGTCTTCATTTCTGAAGAAATATGGGTTCACCCAGTCACTTCAAAAGGTCCCATTTACACCTAATAAAGTAGAAACCTATTTCTTATTCTCTAAAATATAAGAAAGGAGTGGATAGATTCAGTTCTTGCTTACAATCTTCTGTAACAGAATAAAGGGATTGAAATTGTGGAAAAGTGAAGTCACACTGGAAAGAGACTTTTGCCAAAGAGAAAAGAATATGCTTGAGTAAACGTTCAATTTTCAGATTTGTAAGTCGGGTTTCAACACACCTTCCTCAGCAACATCTACAGGATCTTACTATTAGCACTGGATTTTCTGTGTCTCTGTATTTCTTCAAAAATGTTAAGAAAAATCCACACACTTTCCTTTGCAGACCAAAAAGATCACTGAAACATTATATGATTATCTGACTTCTTAACTTTGAATGGCAAGTAGGCAATTGAAGTCACTTTATAATTGGATTTAAATTTGTCATGCGCAGACAGGTGTTAAGACACAAAAAAAGGGAACCCTAATACACTGCTGGTGGGAATGCAGACTGGTGCAGCCACTGTGGAAAACAATTTGGAGTTTTCTCAAAAATTCAAAATGGAACTCCCCTTTGACCCAGTGATCCCACTCCTAGAAATATATCCTAAGAATCCTGAAACACCAGTCAGAAAGAATATATATACCCCTATGTTCATAGCAGCACTACTTACAATAGCTAATATCTAGAAACAGCCCAAGTGCCCATCAGTAGATAAGTGGATAAAAAAAACTGTGGGTCATTTACACAATGGAATACTATCCTATATAATAAAACCCTAATATGTAAATTAACCAAACAGAATGACCAGTCGTTATGACGTGCACTGACCATCAGATGCTTAATGCAAGAGCTGCCCCCCCTGGTGGTCAGTGTGTTTCCACAGGGGGAGCTCCACTCAGCCAGAAGCCAGGCTCATGGCTGGTGAACATAGCGGCATTGGTGGGAGCCTCTTCCACCTCCACAGCAGTGCTAAGGACTCCTTGGGGAAGCAGGCCTAAGCCAGCAGGTGGACATCCCCCAAGGGTTCCTAGACTGCGAGAGGGTTCAGGTCGGGCTTAGGGACACCCCTCCACCACCAGTGCACAATCTCGTACACTGGGGCTCTAGTACAGCTACAAAATGCAAAAGGTTAGGGACAAAGAGAGAATCTTAAAAGCAACAAGAAAAAAGCAATTAATTTTCTACAAGGTCACTCCTATGATACTGTCAGCTGATTACTCAACAGAAACTTTGAGGCCAGAAGATATTGGCAAGAAACATTCAAAGTGATGAAAAGCAAGGACCTACCAACAAGATTATTCTACACTTCAAAGTAACCATTTAGAATAAAAGGATATATAATGAGTTTCCCAAACAAGAAAAGCTAAAGGAGTTCCCCACCACCAAACCCATATTACAAGAAATCTTAAAGTGTTTTCTTTAAGAAGAAAAAAAGATAAAGATATAAAGAATAAAATGGAAATAAATACATATCTATCAACAATTACTTTAATTGCAAATGGATTAAATGCTCCAATGAAAAGACATATGAAGGCTGAACGGGTAACAAAACAAGATCCTTACAATGCAGACAGACTGAAAGTAAAGGGATAGAAAAAAGATATTTTATAAAAATGGAAACAAACAAAAAAGCTGGGGTAACAATAATTATACTAGGCAAAATAGATTTTAAAACATAGGTTATATAACAAAAAATAAACAAAGAAAGACCCAGTAATTCCATGTCTGGATATTTATCTGAAGAAACCCAAAGCACTAAGTGAAAAAGACATATACATTCATTACAGCATTATTTACAATAGCTAAGATGTGCAAGCAAATTAAGTGTTGATCAATAGATGAAAAACTAAAAAAGTGGAATATGATTCAGCCATATAAAATAATGAAATCTTGCCATTGTGCTGAGCAAAATAAGTCAAAGGAAGGTGGGTGCCATATGATTTCACTTATATATAGAATCTAAAAAACTAAACAAATGAACGAGCAGAAAAGAAATAGACTCATAGATACAGAGAACTTTTGATAGTTGCCATGGGAGGAGGAGTGTTTGGAGAAATGGATAAAAAGGTGATGTGATTGAAAAGTATAAATTGGTAGTTTCAGAATAGTCAATAAAGTCAATAATATTGTGATAGCTATGTCTGTTGTCAGATGTGTATTAGATTTATCAAAGTGATCACTTAGTAAGTTATGTAATGTCTAAATACTGGTTGTATACCTGAAACTAATATAATATTATATGTCAACTGCAAATGAAAAGTAAGAAAAACAATGATTTAAAATAAATGTCACTCTAGATAAATTTTTTTTCAGGTTTATATTTTACAAATATAGGATCACAAATAAAAATATTACTAGAAGTCTGATTTAAAAGAGAAGAAATTCCTCTTTACTTTTGAGAATGATTTAGAATTACAATTAACTCTAAAAAAAGCTTTCTGGGAAATCACATAATATATATTTTAGGAATTTAAAAAAAAATAATAAGGCTTTCAAACCTTTATTGAACAACACTGAGCAGATAAAAAACATCTCATCTAATAAACACATCACTGTTGTCAACGTTAAATCATGAAATCATGACATATTCATTTATAATACATTTTATTTCTATTTAAAATATAAAATAAACAAATTGAATTCTGACAGAATTTTTCAAAATAAATCTTTTAGTTTTAAACTTTAGGAGACATTTATTCAAAATATAAAAGAACTAACAAATTATTTTAAAAAATAATTTTACAATACCTGTTTTCAGATTTATAGTCCCTTGGCTAATTCATACATACATAAAACAGAAGCCTCCAGATTATAAGGACACTAGAGGCCCGGTGCACAAAATTTGTGCATGGGGGTATGTGTTCCTCAGCCCATCCTGCACCCTCTCCAAACTGGGACCCCTTGAGGGGTCACAATCCAGGACTGCTGGCTCCCAACTGCTCGCCTGACTGCCTTCTTGATTGCCCCTGTTTCTGCCTGACAGCCTGATTACCCCCTAACCACTTCTCTGCCAGCCTGATTGATGCCTAACTGCTCCCCTGCCAGCCTGTCTGCCCCTAACTGCCCTCTCCTACAGTCCTGGTCTCCCCCAACTGCTCTCCCCTGCAGGCCTGGGTCCTTCCCAACTGCCCTTCCCTGCAGACGTGGTTACCTCCAACTTCCCTCCTCTGCTGGCCTGGACATCTCTAACTGCCCTGTTCTGCAGGCTTGATTGCCCCCAACTGCCCTCCCTTGCAGGCCTGGTCCCTCCCAACCGCCCTCCCCTGCTGGCCATCTTGTAGCAGCCTTCTTGTGTCCATATGGGGCAGCCATCTTTGTGTGTTGGAGTGATGGTCAATTTGCGTATTACTCTTTTATTAGATAGGATAATTTTAAAATATACTTTTTTTTTTTACAACAATGTATTTTCTATTGAATGTTACCTATCAATATGCAAGTTTAACTGTATTGCTTCTTATCAAACATTTCTCTTAGCATCTTCTTTGGAAGTTTATTAATCTTATTGTTGATATATAAGATTAAATATATTTATGGATAAAATAAAGGACTTGGACCAAATGCAAAAATAAATTGCAACACAGATAGATGTTTTGGTCCTCATGCCTAATGCAACAGAATATTTTTTTAAAATAATTTTGCTTTCAATCACTGATAGGGAAGGGAAAAGAAAGAACATGTAATCAAAAGTAGCACTCTTTTGTTTTATTTGAGTGTAGAACAGAAATCTAGAAATGGTCAAGAAGTAATTTCTTGAATCAGTCAGCAGAGTGGGGGAAGGGGACATGTAATATTTTCAACCATAAAGATTAAAAATAACAACAAGAAGTCATTTCTGATTAATTGTAAAATACTCGAGAAACTGTATTATTAACAATCTTTTCTTGTCATTCTTTGGACCCTAGAATGATACCTTAAAACAATAGGCATGTAATAATATTTGATTGCTTGGCCCAATGATTTGAAGTGCTCATAATATTGCTTTGGAACAAGAACATGGTTGGGAATAGTACTTAGAAACATACCGAGTACTTAATGGTATCCAAAAACATGATAAATTTACCTGTTTTCTCTTTGAAATCCTTATACACAGACTTTTATCAGTATGCCCAAGACAGTTATAACACAATATTCTCATCCAGTAACATAGGATGTACCTACAACAGTGATGACAATCAATTTTAACTGTCAAGGAGTCACACTTACCAGATGCAATGACAGGCACCCCTAAAAAAGAAGAAAATTAAAAAAGATCACTAAAGTTATTTATTTGCTACAAATTTAATATATATAAACTGAACTTGAAAAATCAAAAGTAACTCATATTTCCATAACTGAAAGAAATAATTACAAATAAATTTATATAAACAATTACACATTATGAACAATCAAATAAAATACACACCAGTGTCTATATCTATTCATCAAGTTAACATTATAAACAGTTAACATGATAAAGAGTTACTGAATACTGGAACTAACACCGTGTGAATTTGGTTATATGATTTGAAGACAAGAAACAAGTTCAGAAGCTTAAATAGTAACTACTGATCTAATCCTATGGTTAAGAAACTATCAGAATCTGAAGTTTTTTTCAGCAGACATTATCAAAACTTAAATTACTATATGAGCTTATTATTTAAACCTTTCAATGAATACAAGTGAGGCATTGCAAAAATTATTTTCAAATAAATATATTTGTAATAATTAATACATTACTCTCTTCAATAAATGGTCCGGGAAAATTGGAAGTCACATGCAAAAGAATGAAACAGAATTACAGTTTGTCCCATGTTAAAAAATTAATTTTAAATGGATCATAAAATAAAATAAAATAAAATAAAATGGATCACATACCTAAATATAAGATCTGAAGCAATAAATTACATAGAAGAAAACATAGGTACCAAACTTATAGACCTTGATCATAGAGAATGTTTTATGAAGTTGACCCCAAAGGTTATGGAAGTGAATGTAAAAATAAATGAATGGGACTACATTAAACTAAAAAGCTTCTGCACAGCAAACAAACAAACAAACAAACAAAAAAAACATACACATACACACACACACACACACAACAAAACAAAACAAAACAAAACAAAACAAAACAAAACAAAAAGGACAGCAAAACAAAGGCAGCCAACCAAATGGGAGATATATGCAAACAATAACTCCAACAAAGGTTTAATATCTAAGATATATATTTTTAAAATGCACAAAACTCAATATCAAACAAACAAACAAACAACCCAACCCAATTAAAAAACAGGCAGAGGATCTGAATGGACACCTCCTCCAAGAAAACATACCAACAGCCAACAGATATATGAAAATATGTTCAACCTTACTAGCAAATAGAGAAATGCAAATCAAAATTACAATGAGATGCCACCTCACATTTTTTTTTTTTTTAGAATGGCCACTATCAACAAAACAAGTAATTACAAGTTCTGGAGAGGTTGTAGAGAAAAGGGGACCCTCATTCACTACTGGTGGGAAATATACTGGTACAGACACCCTGGAAAACAGTATGGCAGCTACTCAAAAAATCAAGGCTAGAGCTGCCATATGACCCAGCAATTTTTCTTCTGGGTTTATACCCCCCAAACTCGAAAACAGGTATGCAACCCTATATTCATTGCAACATTATTCACAATGGGCAAGTCATAGAGATAGCCAACGTGTCCTGTGATAGAGGATTGAAAAAGGAAGATGTGGCACATATACACAGCTCATAGAACACTACTCAGCCCTAAAAAAAAAAAAAAAAAAAAGAAATATTGCTATTTGTGATGACATGCATGAATCTTGAGAATATTGTGCTAAGTGAAATAAGTCAAGCAGAAAAAAAAACTAAGAACCATATGATTTCACTCATTTGTGGGATATAAATCTGATACTCATGAACACAAACAGCAGTGTGGTGGTTGCCAGATCAAAGGGTGTGGGTGGAGTGAAGGGATCCTAATATATGGTGATGGCATGTGATTTGACTTTGGGTGGTGGGCACCCAGTGCAGTTTTCAGATCATGTAACGGAAATCCTCACCTGAAACCTATACGATCCTATTAAACAATGTCACCTCAATAAATTTAATGCTTTTAAAAAGTTATTAAACCACACATGAATGTGTTCTTCCTGGGCGTTAACTTCAATAAAAATGTTAAAGTAATGTTTTTTAAATTTATCTCCTGGCTCAGTTCTATTGAGATTGCCCAAGGAACGACATAAAATAAAACAAAATAGGCATCCCTATTGGAGAAGAATGTGTATAAAAATGGCTGTCCATTAGGCAAGATGTAGGACAAGACGACATCCTAGTGGTCTGAAGCAGCATTAATTAGCAAGATGGGTTTCATAGGGTCACTCAACAGGCAGTTCTAAAGTCTATCGCACATCCTACTTCCAGTGCCTTTGTTTAAGGAGCCCTGCATTCATATGAGCTTTGTCAAAGAACTGTGTTTTCAGTTCCTTAGAAGATACTGTTGATTTGCTTTACCAAATTAGCAACTCTAGGGAATCTGGAGAGATCTTTTAGCATGCTTGAGGGATGGGTCTCTAACCATGAACCAGACCCAGAAAACAACTTCAAGGATGGCATTATAGTTGGTTCTTTGAAGAGTCTTGAAAAATTCAAAGACTCCCTAAAGAAAACAGAATTTCTTCACCAACCTTAACTTAGCATTGTTTTAATGGGGCCACACCTTTTTCTATATTATTGCAAAATGTTTCCTTTTTTTTTTTTTTTTTTTTTTTAAGATCTGCCCTACCAACAATCCAAGTCTGCCTCTGAAGAAAGTCCAAAATGTTAGTATGCAAACACCTCTAACTACAGCGAATCCCAGAATATGTAATTACATAATTCTGGTCAAGTTGACATTTTCCACCCTCGCACATTGGACCCACGTACACTCTGAAACCTGAGCAGTGTCAGCTCACCTGCTGTAAGGAATCCACTTCCTTTAGAGGTGCTTTGTCGCGTGAAAACAATTTGATTCTGGGTTACTGCAATATGAGCAGAGGTCAATCTTTGGGTTGTATAGTGGCCCTTAGTCATTGGGGCATGTACAGTAGAGAATTTTTGTGTTACTGGAAGACTCTGTGCATAGGAAGCTTTTGCTGTTGTGAAGCTCTGGGGTTTTGATGTGGCTTGTATAGCAGAAGCATTTGTCATGAGGAGAGTCTGGACTGTGAGTTGGGTCTCTGTCGATAGAGCCTTTGAGACAGAAGTTTTGACTATGGTGGCTGAGTCACTGGCTGCGAAAGGTTTCTGAGAAGTTGGTGGGGCATCCATAGCTAGAACAGGTAAGGTGTCTTTCTGAGGTAATAGGAGGGCTTTTGTAGTTGAAGAACTTCTCATAGTGAGATTCTGAAGAGTTGGTGTGTCTTCCATAGGCGGAACATTTACTGTGGTGGGTTTTTGAGAAGTAGATGGGGCTTCCGTAGCTGGAATATTTACTGTGGTGTGTTTTTGAGGAGCAGGTGGGGATTTTGTAGCTGGAAAAGTTACTGTGGTGTGTTTTTGAGGAGCAGATGGGGATTTAGTAGCTGGAATAGTTACTGTGGTGGGTTTTTGAGGAGCAGATGGGGATTTTGTAGCTGGAATAGTTACTGTGATGGGTTTTTGAGGAGCTAAAGGGGCCTTTGTGGCTGGAACATGTATGGTGGTGGGTTTTTGAAGAGTAGATGGGGATTTTGTAGCTTTAACATTTATGATGGTGGGTTTTTGAGGAGCAGATGGGGCCTTTGTAGCTGGAACATTTATGGTGGTGCGTTTTTGAGAAGCAGATGGGAACTCTGTACCTGTAACATCTACAGAGGAGGTTTTTTGAGTAGTTGACTGGGTTCTGGTACTTGGAACATCCGTTGTGCTGGGTTTCTGAGTAGTTGTAGGAATTTCTGTGGAGGAAAAATGTTTTTAAAACATTAGCAAAGGCATGCTCTTAAGATTTAGGAACCAACTACTAACTCAATGACTCTCCTCTTTCTTGCCCCACAAGCACACCTAAATATGACAATTAGTCATCCAAGTCTTGTGTATTTCCCAAGGATCTAAAATGCTACACTGTTTTTGCTTCCACATAAATTATACCTGTAGGCAACTAAGTAAACCAAAGCAGTACTGAGGTACTTAAACTGCTCTCTGCATGGGGAAAGGAAATGGAAGTTCGAGTTGGCAGTGATCTCATTCAGTGACACACTCCAGATAAAGATATTTTGTCTCTTACATCACATCTATAGCTAGAACAGGTAAGGTGTTTTTCTGAGGTATTAGTAGGGCTATTGTAGTTGAAGAATTTCTTGTAGTGCGATTCTGAATAGTTGGTGTGCCTTACGTAGCTGGAATATTTACTGTAGCGGTTTTTTGTGGAGCAGGTGGGGCTTCCGTAGCTGGAACATTTACGGTGGTGGTATATATATATATATATATATATATATATATATATATATAATTGATTTTTTACAGAGAGGAAGGGAGAGAGATAGAGAGTAGAGAGTTAGAAACATCGATGAGAATGAATCATCAGCTGCCTCTTGCATGCCCCCTACTGGGGATGTGCCTGCAACCAAGGTACATGCCCTTGACCGGAATCGAACCTGAGACCTTTCAGTCTGCAGGCCGACGCTCTACCACTGAGCCAAAATGGTTTCGGCACTGTGGTGGGTTTTTGAGGAGCTGATGGGAACTCTGTACCTGTAACATCTATAGAAAAGGTTTTTTGAGTAGTTGACTGGGTTCTGGTACTTGGAGCATCCATTGTGATGGGTCTCCGAGTACTTGTAGGAATTTCTGTAGAGGGAAAATGTTTTTATTTATTTTTTTATTTTTTTTTAAATCAATCTTTATTGTTCATATTATTACAAAAGTTCCCACCCCACCATCTGCTCCCTCCCCACCCCCCATTGTCCTCATCCATAGGTGCACAGTTTATGTTCAGTCTCTTCCCACATCCACCACTCCCCCTTTCCCTGGAGAACTGTCAGGCCACTCCCCTCCCGTATTGCCGACTCTACTACAATCAACAGCTAATATTGTTCATCAGGTTTTTCAATCTCCTTTTTGTTGTTGTTGTTGTTGTTGTTGTTGTTGTTTAAATTAATAAACTTTTACACTTCTAAGAATAAATTTTAAAATCTAATAATTTTAAACCTTGTTTATTTCTGCCCTGGGAATTGAGAAGCAAACTTGTTTACATGTAAACTTGCCCTTAGGCTATCAAAAGGTGTAGCCATTCAAGTGTAAATGAATACATTGTTTAAAGATAGCTGCTGATTGGAATTGGATTACCTGTTCAGGGTGAGAAGGGCTTGTCCGCCCCTTTCTCCATTAAAATTAAGGTGTTAGCTTTAAAACCTCTTTTTGGCAAGAGACCTTAAACTTTCAGAACTTTAAATTTTTCAGATAGTAAATCAGTTACTTAGCATTTTCTCAAATAATACCTCCACATGCCCAAGGATACACTTCACACAAAAGACATTTCCAAATAGATCAACCAACCTCATCCAGACCCCACACCAGGCACTCACAGATCAACACCCCAGGGCTACAATAACTCAACACATCCAGATCTAAGCCTTCATCACTTGATTCAGCAGACCCTCAAGTTCCCCCAAAAGTTTCCAGCCATGTCTGAGAGGCAGCCCTGGGGCGGGGGCGGGCAAGGAGCGAGCTGTTCCAGGCCTGGCTGCTCCGGGCCTGGCCTCTGTTGCTCTGGTCTGCTCCACAACCAGCTGCTCCGGGTCTGGCCACTGTTGCTCCTGGCCTGGCTGCTGCTGCTCCTGGACTGGCTGCTCCCAATCCAGCTGCTCCGGGCCCGGCCACTCCGGGCCTGGGTGCTCCTGGCATGGCCACCATGGGCTTGGCCGCCTCCGCCCCAGGCCTGGCTGCCACTGCCCCAGGTTTGGCTTCTTCGGGCCTGGCTGCTGATGCTTTGGTTCTGGCTGCTGCTGCTCTGGGGCCTGGCTGCTGCTGCTCCGGGCCCGGCTGCCACTGCCTTGTGCCTGGCCACTCTGGGCCTGGCTGCCGCCATTCCAACATTCTGTCCTTTTTTTTTAAACGCATTTATGTTGCAATGTTGGCTGCTGAGTTGAGTTCTGACTTAGTCTTCGATTTTTCAAGATCTTTTTTGTATTCTTTCTTATGTAATTTTACTATCTTTTGCTATAACTTGATTTCTTCACATTGAAAATTTCTTCGGTTTCTTCCTTCCTGTCCTGGAAGCTCAGCAGGCCTGCCTGTGGCACCCCTTTGTTCTCTGCGGCCTCCTGCGTGGCTTCAGCCTGTTGCTGGGGTCAGCGCCGCACAGGAAGCAGCCCCAGCCTCGGCTCCGTGGCCCGCGCTCAGCAGTCGAAGGTCCAGCGGCACACCACCCCCCCCTGGGGGCCCCGCTGCCCGGCTCCTTGCTGGCCCGGCTGGCCGATGTCCAGCAGAGGCTCCTCCTGCTCTTCATCACGTTCCTCCCAGTCTGGAGCTTTTTTTCTCCTTCCCGCTAGGGGAGTCTAGCATCAGAGTCAACAGACTGTCCTCTGCGCACAATGTGTGCAACTCCGGAGGCTCTGCCCCTCGCCGTTCCCCTGGGACTCCACCTCACAGCCCCGTCTCCCTCTATTTGAGCCTGGGTCCCCAGGGTCTGGCCTAGAACTGGGGTTCAGAGCAGTCGGAACTGGGACCCAGCACGGCTGGAGCTCTTGTTTCCCTCCCACCAGGGCAATCCAGCATCAGAGTCAACATTCCGTCCTCTGCGCGCAATGTGCGTGATTCCGGGGGCTCTGCCTTTCGCCACTCCCCCGGGATTCCACCTCACAGCCCCGTCTCCCCCCTGCCTGAGCTGGGTCTCCAGGGTCTGGCCCAGAACTGGGTCTCAGTGCTGCTGGTTCTGGGGTTCAGCCCAGTCCAGGGCTTTTATTTCCTTCCTGCTAAGGAACGCCAGGCAGGCACCCAGCCTTCTCCTCCTCTCCGGCTCCGTTCTCTCCGCACATGTGCGTGCATCCGTGCATCATGTCTCTGTACCTTAGGCTTTTTCAGCTCCTCTGATTTTCCTTCTGGTTTTCTCTTTCCTTCTTGTTGTAGAATTTTCAGGCTCAGTCGACTACCTGTAGCTCTGGGCAATGTCCATTTTATATTTTAGTTGTATTCCATTGAAATTGTTGTGTGCGTCTGCGGTTAGGTGTTTACCTGAGCAGCCATCTTGGATCCTCCGAGGGAAAATGTTTTTAAAACATTAGCAAAGGCATGCTCTTAAGATTTAGGAACCAACTGCTAACTCAACGACTCTCCTCTTTCTCGCCCCACAAGCACACCTAAATGTGGCATTTAGTCATCCAAGTCTTGTGTATTTCCCAAGGATCTAAAATGTTACACTATTTTTGCTTCCACATAAATTATACCTGTAGGCAACTAAGTACACCAAAGCAGTACTGAGGTACTTAAACTGTTCTCTGCGTGGGGAAAGGGAACGGAAGTCCGAGTTGGCAGTGGCCTCATTCTGTGACACACCCCAGACAAACATATTTTCTCTCCTACATCGTCTTCCTTTGCTCATGCCAAGACCAAAGAGCAGCAGGATGCAAACACTGGACCAATAGAGAGTATCACAACAGAGATCATCACAGAGTTCTGTTTTCTGCAGCTTTTTGGACATGGTAGTGACCTTGAAACGTCTCTTGCTTCACTTCTTTTTAGAAGTAATAAAGCCAGGCAGAATAAAACAACTCCCCTTTTTTCTCTTCTTGTTCTGGTTTCCAACTTTACACACATTCGATTAGTTCCTCTTTGGATTTTAGGTGAGCTAACCAATGTCTGAAGCACAACTTCAGTTAAGACCTTATGCTGAGAAGCACACACAACAACACAGTAAAATGTTAGGTCTTCAAGACCATTTAACTGTTTGTTTGTTTTTGTAAATATATTTTTGATAGTATTACAAATATCTCCTATTTTCTCCCCCATTTACCCCCTCTTCCATCCCCTCTCTCCTCCCAGGTCTTTACAACTCTACTGCCTGTGTCCATGGGCTATGCACGTAAGTATATAAGTTTGTGGTTTATCTCTTCTTGTCCCCCAAACCTCACATTGAGGTATGTGAATCTGTCCCATGCTTCCCTGCTCCTGGTCATATTTTGCTGGCCAATTCCTTTTGTTCAATTAGATTCCACAAATAAGTGAGTTCATGTGTAGTTGTCCTTCTCCCTTTGGCTTATTTCACTTAGCATAATATTTTCCAGATTGCGTATGCAAACGCCCTCTTAAGGCGGAACCGAATAGTGTTTAGGCCTGTTTCACAGCATCCTAGAGACCAAGTTTCCTAATCCCTCTGAACTTCAGTTTCCCATATAAAATGAGGGTGAAAACAGAGCAGCTGTGTGACCTCACTATAAGAGATGAGGGAAATAATTTGGGTAAGTTATTTCCCACAGTCGGTCCCTGAAGCCACATCTTACATCAGCCAGCACTACTACTGCCAACAGCATCGGCACACACCCTGCTCTAGACACTCAGATGTTGTGTCATGTATCGCTACATCCTTTACCTACCTCATAGGATGCTATTTCAGGGGTGGGGAACCTCCTGCCTGCAGGCCGTATAAAGGCCCAGAAAAAAATTGGTTTGGTCCCGCCAAGGCATTAGGGGTGAGTTAATATAGCAGGCTAATTTTAAAGCTGTTCAAATATAGCAGGCTAATTTTAAAGTTGATAATATTGTGTGGCCCATGAACGATGTTATAAATATCCAAATGGCCCTTGGCAGTAAAAGGTTCCCCACCCCTGCCAGGGATAACAAGTAAAATACATAGCAGGTGACAGGGCTCTCAACAGGCACCCAGAAAATGATAGGTTTTATAATTAGGGTAAGTAAACTTTTCACATGGACTTTTCATCTAAGGCTTTCACATATACAA